TATTTTACGGTTTCAGTTTGGACTACTGACTCCTTCACTGACTTTCTGTTATTGGCTGCTCAGGTCCATATGCCTGCCACTCTACACAAAATGTGAGGCCCTTTTTTCTTTTATGGTCATGGTGGTTGAACCCAGGGTCTTTGCACTGAGCCACATCCCAGGCCCTTTTAAAATTTTGAGACAGGGTAAGTCATTAAGTTGCTCAGATTGGGCTGGAACTTTCGATCCTCCTGCTTCAGCCTCATAGAGTCCTGCAGCACCATGGTCTGCTAGCTCCAAGGATTTGGGGAGCCTGGTATTGTGACAAATCACCATCTCACCATCTCCAGGTATAAGGGGCCTTTGATACTAAGAAGGAGAGAGGACAGAGAATACTATGAAACAACAGACAACTCCAGGGTTGCTCCTTCCCTCCCTCCTGTGGAAACTGGACACTGCCCTCCTGTGCTAGTATCTGCGTGTTCTATCCACTCATCTGTGTTGAAGAGAGGAATCCCTTCAAACTGGCTTCTGTGTCCCTCTGACATGTCTCTATCATTTTTTCTTTTGTGGTACTAGGAATTGAACCCAGTGCCTTCTCACTGAGCCATATCCCCACTCCTTTTGATTTTTAAATTTCGAGACAGGGTCTTGCTAATTGCTTTATACACAGATGTCCCCCCAAGTCTGGTGTATTCATAGATGAGGCTTTTGGAAGGTGATTGGGTCATGGGGGAGTGACAGTCATCAGTAGATTCGTCCTCTGATGGGTTAATAGCTAAATGTGGTGTTAGGGAGCCGAGTCTGGTCAAAGGTGGTGGGTTACTGGGGGTGTAGCCTGGAAAGGCGTATCTTCCTTCTTGGCTCCCCCCTTGACTTCATCTGCCCTGTGGATGTCATGTCCTGAGCGGCTCACCTCTGCCCTGCTCCTCTGCTATGTCATCCTGCCTTGTAGCCAGCCGACTACAGACTGAAACATGAGCCAAAATAAACCTTTCTTTCCTTAAATTGTGGATGTTGGGTACTCCATCTCAGTGATAAGAAAGTGACTAAGACACTAAGTATCTAAGTTGCCCAGGCTGGGGTCAAACTTGCCATCCTCCTGCCTCAGCCTCAAATAGTGCTGAGATTACAGGCATGCAACATGCATGCCCACCTTCTGGATTTTTCTTGTTCCCTCTGAGCCCTAGATCTTCAAGGCCTTGATTACTCTAGACCCTGAGAACTAAGAATCCCCAAAGCACAAATTCAAATTTGAAAGGGACCTTAAGATCTCCCAGTCTAATTACTTAAATTTTATAGATGAAAACCCATGAACTTTAGAGGAGTGACTTAACCAAAGCCCCGAGCTAGTGTGTAGCAGAGGCAAGACTAGAAGCCAGATACTTCACCTCCTACACTGCTGCAACCTGCACTCAGGATCTGGTCCTCCAGTGACTCCGTGGCCTTGGCTTCTAGACTTCAAGGCTTGAGACTACAACGTGTGCTGCACCTGACAGCTACCTAACCTGTGTCCTTGTAGGACACACGACCTTACTTCCTGGTGCTGCACAGCTTTGGCAGTGACAGTGGTCATCTTGCCTATGTTAGACTTTGGCTTCTCTTGTAAACTACTCCCCATAAATAGGACATTTAAATATCACCAGACCAAAAAAAAATATCACCAGACGGTAAAATATCACTAATTCCAACTAGTGGGTGTGTGTAGGGGGGAGTCAGTCTGAATTAGTAAAGTCTGATTCCCTTTTATTACATATGACTGGAACTAGACTGATGGACAATCCAGTGGAGAAACTTTCAGGCCCTACTTCCATGCACAGTTGAGTGGTTTACAGAAGCCTACACAGAGCACCAACATTCTCTCTGCACATGGGCTTTAGTGTCACACAAATCTGCATTTGAACTCGTCTCGTCCACCCACCAGCTATTTGATCATCAGTGAGTTCCTTAACTTCTCTGAGCTTTAATTTCATTTCAGAAATGAGGATAATAACATCTATCTCTTAGAGGTGCTGTGTAAATTAAATGAGACAATGAAGACTACCAGGAACAAGTGTTCAATGAAGGGCTGGGGTGTGGCTCAGTGGTGCAGCATTTGCCTAGCATGTGTGAGGCCCTGGGTTCCATCCCCAGCACTGCAAACAAAACAAAAATGAAAACAAAAGTGCAATGATACACATTATTAGTTGTAAATAGATATTTTACTAGGCTTTAAAAACAGCTTCTTTTGGTAAAAAATTCAAATAGTCCCATAATCACATTGTGTATGATTAACTTGCTAGCCCTGGGTTATGAGAATTTAAAGTTTAGTAATGTGGAAATTAATGAGGTTTCATAGTTCTTTATATTCTATTAATGACTCATATCTTTCCTTATTAATCTAGCTTGAAGGACCAATGTTCTATACTTTAAAAATTGAGAGTTCTTCATCAAGGTGAAGGTGAACTTGAGTTAGGCCTTTCCTTTGAGGTACAGTAACAACCACGCACAGGCCAGAGGATGCAAACCAGAACATGAAATGGACAAGCCAAGTCTCCTGGCTTGTGGTTACAGTCACCAAAATGGTCAGGGGGAACTTTGCTTGATGTCTTACTTTACCTTGTTTTCCTTAATAATGTTCACACCCAGCCCCTTTCCTTCTTACTCCATCAGTAAAGAAAGCTGCCAAACAGATATTAAGTCTCCTCTTCCCTTAGAAAGAATCTGCCTAATCACAAACTTTCAAGCTCTTCCTGCTGCTGTGACTGAAATATTGAAAAGAGAAAATTATGTTTGAGTAGAAAAGTAACCTTATTCTGTTAGGGAATATTATTTATCTTTAACTAGTTTCTGTTAAGAACTGCAAAAGTCCAATGAGGCCAGGTAACCATTCTGCAACCTGGTGCTACTACTGTAAAGCAAAAACATGTTAAGCTACATGTGTTTTTTATCAGGTCAGTTGGAATCAATTTGTGATAAATCCAGGGTCATCTATATTCAATCTAGGACCTTAGTGATCGCCTAGATGTTCTTTATGCATTCTCTAAGCCACCATTCTTGTTCACGTGGACCACAGTGGCAGCTTTCTCAGTGACTTTCTTGCCTTCTGCCTCTCGAGACACTTCTCTGCAGTAATTTTTTTTTTTTTTTGGTACTGGGGATCGAACTCGGGACCTTGTGCTTGCGAGGCAGGTGGCATCTGCAGTAATTTTTTAAAAGCAGATCCTTTGATTCATCTGCTTATAATATTTTAATGGCTCACATCCAACTTTGAGTGTAATCTAAATTTCTTCCTGGAGCCTAAAAGCTATAGTGGCAATGTGGTGGTAAATATTTAGCAGCTGGTTCTTTAGGGAAAATAAAACTCTGACTTGTAGCATTTTCCAATTTCAATGATGTAAATACTGCCACCATGGCTGGTTTCAGGCTACCAAATGTGAGGTCCAGCAGCTCCCCGGTTTCCTGAAATTTAATAATCAGATTCTCTGAGCCAACAGAAACTGGCTCTAACATACCACGTGTAGGCTACAAGGCTCTACAGAAATGTGCCATTCCCCCTCAACTTTTTTTTTTCAGAACTAGGGATTTAACCCAGCACTCTACCACTACATCTCCAGCCTTTTTTTTTTATGTTTTGAGGCACAGTCTTGTTCAGTTGCTTAGGCTGGCCTAGAACTTACAACCTACTTGCCTCACCTTCCTGAATAGCTGGGATTAGAACCCAGAGATGCTCTACCACTGAGGTATATCTCAACCCTTTAAATTTTTAAAATTTTTATTTTGAGACAGAGTCTTAACTAAGTTGCCCAGGTAGGACTTGAACTTGTGATCCTCCTGCTTCAGCCTCTCTCAGTGCTGGGATTACAGGTGTGCAGTACCACAACAGCTTGCCTAGATTCTTTATGCAAAGACCAGAACTTGTGGCATGGTATGAACAAATGCCTCTACAAATGCTGTATTAAATGGGTATCTAGAACACAAAGGCAAGCATGTATTGCTGGTCACCCCCAAGGGATGAAGGAATGGTTAGGCTAAATAATAGTGCTTTTCAACCCTAAGCTGTATATTTAACCAGTGAAGCTTTTACAAACCATCAATGACTGAGCTCTGGCCCTAGAGGTTGCAATTTAACTGACCCAGGGTGAGGCCTAGACATCAGCATTTGTAAAAGCACCCAGGTGATTCTGATGTGCAGCCAGAGTGCCCCCCCACCCCACTGCCCCGTGTGTGCCTTTTACAGCTCAGAGTCCCTCAGCCTGATGACCATACTGTGAGTGCCTGGGGAAGGCACAGACTACCTGGAATTGTGCACTATCTCTGTGGCCTTCACCAGGTGCCTTGACCTTTCTGGGTCCCAATTTCTTCATCTATAAAAGGGGGTAATATTAACACCTGCCTTATAGAGTTGTGGTCCATATTAAACGATTTAATGCAAAGTGCTTAAAACTGTATTTGATGAACAGCAAGCACTAAATAAGTAATCACTACTATTAACATCATTATGATTATTCTAAACTTGGAGAAGAGACAATTATGCTGAAGACCAAACCAACCTGCTAGACTGGAATGACAGACTGTATTTGCATTTGATCTTAGCCAAAAGGCGGAGAAGTGATGACAGACTGTATTTGCTCAAACTCTATCATACTAGTGAAGAGAAACAGAATGTGTCAGGCTGTTAGTCACCAGCACCTGTACGTTGTGGCAGAGCCAGACCTGGCTCCCTGGTTTTCTCAGATGACGTCATCCTGCAGAATCCAGTATGCTCCCCTGGTGTCTTAGTTACTTTTTTCATTGCTGAAATAAAATACCCAACACCCAAAGTTAAAGGGTGAAAGGTTTAATTAGCTCACAGTTTATAGAGGTTTCAGTCCATAGTTGGCTGGCTCCAAGGCAAGGTGGCATGGCAGACAGGCATCATAGAGGAGAAACAGCTCATGGTGGGTCGAAAGCAGCAAACCAAGCAAGGGACCTTAGTAGCTTTTTTCTGCCCCTTTTATATTCCATCCAGGCTACCAGGATGAGGATGGTGCCAAACCAATCTGTGTACTGATTTAGTAATCACACACCCTTAATCCCAGCATCACACACACTAGATTCAGCCATCTCCAAAAAAACCCCCACCTATGACTGCATGAGGCTTTGGAGGACATTTAGACACAAGCCATAACACCTGGTGAGCTGTGGATCTGAACCAGACAGCTATGCTTTATAGCTTGGATAGTTGCCTGGCTTTGTGTAGAAGGTGACTACAGGGTAGATAAAGTAACAGATTTGAAAGATGAGTTTTCAGAAGGCTGGGAACATACAGATTTATGTAGGATTTGTGCATAGTGGCCTCGCAGTAAATGTCTATTAAACTAACCAAAGAACAATTAACTGTCCTACCATCCCTGCTCATCATTAGTTGTAGAGAGTGAGAGTCTACTCTTTTGTGATCCTGGCTCATTTGTGGGTACAGTATTCATGGAAATCCAGAAACACACTCGGACTGGTTTTATAGATTTAACCCTATATGTATAGCTCCTAGGCCCTGTATGCTATGTATAGATTCTGAAGAGCTGCTCCCAGCACAATAAAAATAGCACTGGTTACGTGCCCGGCTCTGGATTTGCATTAATTTAATTCAGTCTCTTCTACAGGTATCTGAGATAGGCACAACTCTCATTTTCATGTTTTACAGATGAGGAAGATGAGGCTCAGACCCAGGTTCATGCAGGAGTAAGGGGCAGCTGGGATCCAAAGCTCATACTAGGACCTACTGAGCTAGTGAGCTCACTAGAGCCTCGAGGTGAACACAGCCATCTAAAACATGTCTTTGACAACTATGTGGGGAAAAGGTGGAAACTTTAAAGTTGGCTGAAGCCAGTGGAAGGGTCAGCAACCTGGAGCCTCCATATTCTCCCCACAGCAGCAGGGTGTCACATGCATGTTCATAGCTAGCTGCAAGCTTCCCTGGTGGACAGCAGCTATTTTCTGGGACCTTTTCCCTATGTCTCTCTTCACCCCCACTCTGGGGGAGGGAGGTGGGTAGAAGCTCCTATCTTGGCAGCTGTTACTGGTTAGCTAGAGTTCAAAGAGGCCTGCTTGGCACAGGGTTGCCATTTAGACTCCCAGACCTTTACATCTTTAAAGGAAGAAGCGAGCTCAGGTCAGGAGAAAAGGTCAGAATGACTTTACCTTCAGTGGAATTAGGAAGGCTCCTCCCTACTCCTTCCTGCCTGCCCTCTAGAGACAGTCTTGTTTCCATGATCAACAACTGCCATCCCTAAAGTATTTAGGGCACAGCACACCTCTGAAAAAACAAAAGGGGAGTTTTCCTTTCCCTTCATTTTAATCATGATGCCCTAAAAAGTGACCTTGCCTAAGGGACGTCCAGACATCTACCTGGATTTGGAATCCTTTTTTCCTAACTGCCAGGGTAATGCTGCTCACTTAGGCAGAATTTAGTCCTCCAAGTGGCAAGACCTCAAAGCAAGATGACAGCGAGGAACTGAAATTGCAACAAAGGTGAGTTTGCCATCCCCTCTCACTCTGCCCGGCAGTGTTTGCACTTCTGGGCAGGTAAGTGGGCTCTGTTAGGAAAATAGCTGAGAGTAGAGGCTCTGCCACCCAGGAGAGGCTGAAGTAGGCAGAAACCCTCAACTCTGCTAGCATTTCCTAGCAGGACCATGAAAGCAATTTCTCCTTCCCTTCTGGGGCTTTACCCTTGCTCCACTCCTACCAAGGCTCAGAGAGCCAGTGGGGCTTTTTTCTCAACCCTTTGGTGCAGCCATGGTCAGTTTGTGGCTGGTCAAAGGGGGTGTGGCTGCTGAGCAATGTATGCCTATGGGTTGCTGTTCCTATCATAATCTTCAAGTCAAAGCTGCCAATAAAGCTGCCTTCTGTTACCATTCAAGCCCCAGGACAGCCCAGTTTTCCTACTGTGTTTTCTTCTCCTCTAACTTGCGTTTACCATTCCCTGGCCAAAGCCAGGATTGCTATGGTCTGAACCTTTGTGTCTCCCTGAACTTCTATGTTGAAGCTGTGACCCCATGTGATGGTCTCAGGAGGTGGGGCCACTGGGAGATGAGTCACAAGACCAGGACCTTACACGAATGGGATTAGTGGCCTTACAAGGCCCCAGGGAGCTGCTGGGCCCTTGATTTTGTGAGGACACAGCAAGACAACGCCCTCTATGAACTGAGAGGCCCTTACTAGAGACCAAATCTGCCTTGATTCTGGAATTCCTAGCCTCCAGACTGTTGGTAATAGATTTCTGTTGTTTATAAGCTACAGTATTTTTTGAAGATAGCAGCCTGAATGGATTAATATAAGGGTTGTGCCTGTCAGTTTTTGAGTGTGCACACTATTATTTTTCTCAGCTCCTCTTGCACTGAGGCTTTGGCTCCCACTTTTCAAGGTTTAGCTTCCACCCCCTTCATCCTTTACTCCCACCTCGGGCAAGGGTACTAAAATTAGAATGAACCAGTTACCTATACAGGAACAAGCCCCTGTACTCTGGATGGATAAAAGAACAGCATAAGGAAGGAGAGATCTAAGTTCGAGTCCCAGCTCCACCACTCATGGGCAAGTGACTAACCCTCTCTGTGCCTCGTTTCCTCATCTATGAGAGAGAAATAACAATAGTACTTATTTTGTAGGGGTGATAAGATTAAATGGGTTAAGAAACTGCCTTGTACACATTACCTGACCCATAAATGGTAGTTATTCTATAGTTACAATTTCCTTTTCTGTACTAGGGGATGAACCCAGGGCCTTTGCACTGAGCTACATCCCAGCCTTAAAAAATTTTTTTTTTGGATACAAGGTCTCTCTGAATAGCTAAATGGCTAAGGCTGAGCTAAAGCTTGTAATCCTCCTGCCTTTGCCTAGGAATACAGGTGTGCACTACCACGCCTGGTTATGTGGTTACGATTTCTTATTCCACAGCAGGTATTCCTCTCATCACCTCTCCCAGCGTAGTTTTTCCTCATGTTTACCAAAGAACACAGATTTACATACATTCATTTAGACCTGGTCACATGTACTAAAGGCAATCAAGCAAAAAATATAAATTTGACAGTTCTTTGATCTGCCAAACACTTCCAGGTACCGCAGAAAGTTGGCAGCAGGCTGAGATTAAGAAGGAAATGTATATGAAAATGTTGTGAAGATTGTTCCCTCTGTCTTTCTAGCATATTTGCCAGTCTTGAAGTGGTCATAGCCGGTGCCCTGAGCTGCACACACCCTGACTGCTAAAGTAAGACATGGAAGAAGGTGCATTAGGGGACTGCAGCACGTAGGCAGTTTTAGGCAGGGGACAAGCAGAGGTCTTCTTTGGCTGGGAGGAGGCAGGCGTGGGTGTGCTTACCTTCTGCTTCAGTAGTTCTAACTGCACAGACTGGGGCCCACTCAGCAGCAGCAAGGTTCAATGTTGTGCTCACAGTGAGACTTCCCAAGCCTGCCCTGTACTTCATTCATTTTTAAATGAGTATTTAGTGCCTGCTATGTGAGACTAAATGTTGTAGGGATATACAAATATGTAACACATACTTCTCATTGGTAGAGAAAATAAGGGACACAAAAAGATATACTACAAGGAAGTGTTTGAATAGGCCATAAGAGAGCTGTACAGGTTGAATATCCCTTAGTTGAAATGCTTGGGATTTGAAGTGTTTGGGATTTGAGGTTTTTCACAAATTTGGAATATTTGCATGTATATAATGAGATATCTTGGGGATGGGACCCAAGTCTAAACGTGAAATTTGTGTTTCCTATACACCTTGTATACATAGCATGGAGGTACTTTTATGCAGTATTTTTAGTGTGCCTGCATTGTGACTGCCACCCACCACATAAGGTCAGGTGTGGAATTTCCCACTTTTGGTGTCACAATGGTGCTCAAAGTTTCAGATTTTGGAGCATTTCAGATTTCAGATATTTGGATGAGGGATGCTCAACCTGTAGTAGGAGCAAGCTAAGGACATTGAGAAGGGGGTGACTACTGCTTGGGGAGTTGACAGAAGACATGAGGAGGTGCTTTGATACGGAAGAAAGTGTAATGTTCTAAGTGTGGAAAAGATAGGGTATGGGTAGAAATACTGCAGAAAGAAATTGGCTGAATAAAGGAGTGTGGGCTAATAGGCTAAAAGCCTCCAGTAAAAGGAGGTATTCATCCACAAGAGTCTTGGAACAAAAGAACCATGCCCTTGGGCTCAGAGGGGGTCAGTGAAAACCTGGCACCTGCAGTTATGGAAAGAGTAGGCTGTTAACTCAGTTTTTCTTGCCCCAGATCCCCTTCCCAGTAGTCTGGGGTACCCTCACTGTGATTCAAAGGCCAAACTTCTGCTTTCAGCCATCACAATAAGATGGCTGTTTTAGGGGTGGGAAAAGCCAACACACTTGTCAAATGAAAGCAACAAATCATGCTACAGTAGGTCTGGAGGGACAGCCTGCATGAGGCAAACTCAGCCAAACCTTTAAGTAGCCCAGAGAGATTCTGAGGCAGAGGTGGCCACAAGAACAAAGGCATGGTGACTGGATTGTAAAACACATCCAGTCTTCAGGGATGGGGGAGGGGAACGAGGAAAGTTGTTTCGCTGGCATGGGAGGCTTGAATACAGCAGAGGTCATAAAAAGGCATGTTTTATTTAGTTCAATCAGTACTTAACTTTTTATTTGCAACACTGAAAACTGGGGAAATTTTACATAAAAATCTGGGTTTTAGGCTCCCTTGAAAACTGGGCCTGCATTTCTAAATGGCATCCATCCTTTGGAGAAGAGGAGTTTGCAGCCTGCCACAGCCTCCACTCATTTCTTTCTGCTATCCACATTTAAATGCTAATCACATTATTGTGAAGTTCAACTCTCCAGAAGGCTTTCAAAAGCCCTGATGGCTCAGAATGCATTTCAGGTCTTATTCTTTAGGGAATGAAGATATGTTCTCTGGGTTTCTCCATTCTCCTTTCCATGTTACTTGCGAGTTCCAACAGGCATTTGATGTTGCAACTTCTGGTATAAAGGGCCCCTGTGCAATGAGGATGGCAAAGGTGGTAAAGGAAAACATGCTGGGCCTAGGGGTTTTGCCTTTAGTTTTCTCTAAGGGCATTAAAGGAGGATGCTACACAGATCTTAAGAAAATGAGTTCAGCAGAAGCCCATGGCTGGCCTGGAGAGCACTGAAATGAATCTTTGTTCTGGAGACAAGCTACTTGGGCTTATCTCCCAGCTCAGTTACTGGGTGGTGGTCTGACAGGCTACAGAACCTTTCAGTGCCTCGGTTTTCCCATCTGTACAATGGGCTGAGGAGTAACACTGCCCACCTTGCAAGGATTAAACCAAATAGTGACAATAAAGAGCTTAGCACAGTGCTGGTTATGTATTCAGTGATTATGATCATTTTTAGAATCCTGGAGACCAACTAAAGGATTACTGTATAATAGTGTAGATAGGAGTCAATAAGCTCCTGGATTGGGGTACAGGGCAGTAACAAAAAGAAAGACTAGTGTGGGAGAGTTAAGAATGGAGAAAAATCTGGGCTTGAGGTTGACTGGTGAGTGGGAAGGCCAAGAGTCAAACCAAACTTCAGGATTTCCAGCCTGGGTAAAGGGACCAATGATAGCACTGAAATGGAGAACTTGAGGAAGAGTTTTAGGGCCAGGAGAGGTGGGTCTGATAAATATCATTAGAGGTGACAGTGGCGTTGTGATGGCCAAATGGCAATGCCCAGTGGCTGTGAGAAATGTGGGAGGTTGGGGATGAAGACAGAGATTTGATCATGAAAAGCTGTGAGAGGGGATGAGTATCCAGAGAGGGAATGAAGCAAGCTGCTGTGTGAAATTCAGCAAAGACAGCTCAAGGTAGTAGCTGTCTCAATCAAGTCTGGACTCTATCTGAGCAGGCTGGACCTCTGTTTGCTCACTGGCCATGTGTGTTCTGCTCAGTCAGCTGTGCCACTTCGATACCACCTTTGTCCTTCACCTTATGTGCTTTCACTTCAAATGCTGACCTGGCCCAATCCTGCTTGCCTTATGAGCTGTGGTGGGGTCAAAGTCCACCAGGGTATAAAGCAACAGGCTGACACTTGGTTTTATATTTGATGAAATGGTGACAGTATGGGCAGGAGGGGAGGGAGTCAGGCAAACTCGGGGAGGACCATGCTTGAGCCCCATGCCTCCTCCTTGACTCTCTCAGAAGACCTACAGGCTCCCAGGCTCCCACGTTCTAAGCTGCTCCCTGGATTTTCAGGGGAGTGTTCCCCAGTCTGTCTTCCTCTTTCCTCTACATGCACCTGTCCAGAGAATCATTTTCTCAGGACTCCCTGGTCCTTATTAGGGGCCCACAGATTTATCACATAAACTAATCTTTGTCAATATTTTCCCTTTCCTACTTGTTTTCTCAATACACTAAGTGCTACCAGTCTCTTCTGGCCCAGGATCTGGGCCAGGTGTGGGAGATCTAGATGAAAGGGCCAGGCTATAGGGAAGTGGGGAGAAGGGCATTTCAGGCGGGGTAGTGTTGGAGCCCATGCGAGCACACCAGGTGGGGGCACCTCACTCCCTTTGTGCACAGGGCAGACCTCCCTTCCCACCAGAAACGTTCTATTAAAACATGCACATGCATAATGTATTTACCTCACCATTCTCTAGCATGCCAGCCAGGAGCCAAGGCAAGAGAGAGAAAGAAAGAAAGAAAAAAAGCAATAAAATGAGTATAAGCCTGGTGAAGGAAGGGCTCAGGTGGTTAAACAAGACTTCTGATTATTATCATTAATGTTCCAAAAGGTTCCAACCTGATGTAGCACTAAATGGGCAGATTGCCTGCATGCATGTGTTTCTGGATAAAAGCATATTAAGAGAATGAGTCATTTAGACAAAGGGGCTAGTCTGTGGCGGTGGTGGGGGGGCTGAGAAAAATTCCCCATCCAGTTGGTTTTCCACCAGACACCTGCCATTGATTAGCTTCATGTTGGGCAGTGCAATGGGGAAAGTCAGTGGAATGCAAATGTTACCATTAAGTGTGTTCAAGTCACAGTAGCCTGGTCCCCTGGCAAAGGTCCCTTGTTACCAATTCCACTGGCAAAACCTGCCTGCTTCAGTGGGGGCAGACGGTTCTTTAAGTTCTCTCTCTTTGGTGAATTTGGGTTGTGTGCTTTGCAGGAAAAACAACAGCTTTAGGGTTTGCCTGATGTCTCTAGGCTCCTTATCTTGCAAACTGAAGGTAGATTTCAAGCAGGGATATGAGGTTTGTAATTGGACTGAGATCACAGAGCTGCTGGCTGTGGTGCCCTGACTGCGCTCACTCTGTTTACTGCAGCGACATCTAATGGCCAAGGAAGGAAATGCCACGTTTGTATTTAAAGCCTGTGGTTTTGTCTTGGGGTTTAATTTTTTAGAGTATGAATGGATAAGTTTATATTATATAACCATGGGTTATATTTATTACATAACTATGGGCTATATTTATTAACCCACAAAAAAGAGTACTTTTACTAAGACCGTAAGAATTCATTTCCTCTATCTTTGGGTGACATTTATGATGTTATTTATAATTAGATTTTGACCCTATTTTGTAAAAACAGCACAATTACATCTTTGGATTTTTCCTTTTCAATCTTCATGACTTTGCATCTACTTGAAAGCTTCTACAAGCTCTATGTAAACATTATCTAGTCTCTTTTTTTTCTTGGTACCAGGGATTGAACTCAGGACCTTGTGCTTGTCAGGCAGGCGCAGTGCCACTGAGCTAAATCCCCAGCTCCTCTATGTACACATTAGTGAGAAGGTTCCTATACAAAAGAAAAGTTGACCACAACTGCCCTCTGATATCCACTTCTAGTATGTCCTATCCCAGTTTATAGCAGACTGTTGTGGTACTGACATACGCTAACGTATAGCGTTGGCTAGATTCTCCCAGAGGAGGACACTGTTCTAGCTACCAGGAGGAGAAAGGAATGCAAAAGTTTATGGAGAAAACTGAAGCCACTCAACCTCACATTTAGATGTCCCTGGACTTCATCGGAAACCCCTCTTCTTGACTAGAACTACCCCACACAAGTGGAACTGTGCAGAGAATGCTAAGTTATAAGATGGCACAAAGTGCCAGGGAGACGCTCCTGGCAGTGAGATTCTTACGGCCAGGATATTTTTTTAAAATGAGTAAAATTTGATAGTGTAACATACCTCTTTCATACTCTACCTCTCCTTAACTTGTTTTTAAAAATGATATCTTTAGGGGGTGGGGGATGTAGCTCAGCGGTAGAGTCTGCCTAGCATGTGCGAAGCCCTGGGTTCCATCCCCAGCATTACAAAAAAAGTCATCTATTTTTAAAAGAACATTAATACCATATAAAGAAAACATTTTTTTCTTTTTTTTGAAAACATTTTTTCTTAAGGGTTGAAACATATTAAATCGCCACTTGACTATATTAGAAATTAGATATTGGCAATCTCATATGGTTAAAACCAAAGTTAGAAGACTAAAACAAAAGGAGAGATTCTGAAGAAAAGATAGACGACTATCTCTGAGTTTGAAGGGCTTACATAGTAGGTTCAAGCCTGGCCTAGACTATATAGGGGGACCCTGTCTCAAAAAAAATCTTAAATTATTCTAAGTTTCTAGTTTAATATAATTACAATTCTAAACACAAGTCATTCTAAAGTGCATCAGGAAGAACAAATGACTGAGAATAACCAAGGAAATATTGCACAGAAAAGCAATGAGGATTAAGGTCATTATAAAGCTATAGAGGTTGAAATAGTGTGGTGTTGGCACAAAAACAAACTGATAGACACAGCCCTGAGGTAGAGACCCTAGAAAAAATTATGCAAATATTTAGTATGTGTTGAAAGTACCATCACAAAGTAGTGAGAAAAGGGAATATTACTAGAAATGGTGCTTAAATAATTGGTAAACTATATTTTTTAAAAGCTAGATGATTGCTTCATATCATGCACCAGGTAAATTCTAAATGTATTAAAGTGTTAAGTGTAAAAATTGTAACTAAAATATTTAAAGGACATTAAGTGAATAGTCACTAGATTGTGGGTAGAGTGCCTGCCTAGCATATGAGGCTCTAGGTTCCATACCCAGCACCAACAAAAAAAAAAAAAAAAGAAAAAAAAGAAAGAAAAGAAGAAAGACAAAAGGCCAACTGGTATATATGAAAAACATACAACCTCTCTTATAAACAATAAAGTTCAAATTAAAACAGTGTGATACCATTTTTTAGGTAGTGTCAGGGTTAGGATGACTTAAAATATGTCAGTAATGTTGATTAATGTTGACAAGAGTTTAGATGATGAACCAGTCTGACTGCTGGTGCAAATGTAAACCTATACATTTTTGGAGTGCAAATTTTCTTAAGAGCCTTAGAATTATTCATGCCTTGTGACCTATAAGTCAATTTCTAGAAATAAAGCCTATGGGTATCATCATAGATGTGACAAAATTCAAGGATTTTCATTACAATGCAATTATACTCAAGAATTAGAAATAGCTTCAATATTCAAAATACGAGAAATTGTTAACTATTTCTGGCACATCCATATGGTACAATATTATTTGATAATTAAAATTTAATGACCTGGAGCAATATCCTCTATATAATAAGTAATAAAAGAACTCTGAACATGTTATAAAAATAAATAACCTTATATATTCTTATATATACATACACATATGAACACACATAAAAGAAAAATAATAATAAATCTATGGGTGTTGGGCTCATGGGTAATTGTTTTCTTTTTTTTTTGGTACCGGGGATCGAACTTGGGGCCTTGCATTTGTGAGGTAGGCGGCGGCACCACTGAGCTAAATTCCCAGCCCTATTATAGTGTTCTTTTTTGTACTTTTATGTGTTTCCAAAATTTTCTACAACTTATGTATATTACTTTTTATTGTGGTCAAACATAGAATTAACCATTCTATTTTATTTTTTGCAGTACTGGGGATTAAGCCCAGGGCCGTGGGCATGCTAAGTAAGTGCTGGTCCACTGAGCTACATTCCTGGCCTATTTTAAATTTTATTCAATGATGGAGCTTGCTAAGTTGCCCAGGATGGCTTGGGACTTGCAATCCTCCTTCCTCAGCCTCCTCACTAGCTGGAGTTCACCCAGCACAATTCACCTTGTAAAAAATCCATGCATTACTTTTTAAAATCAGAAATAATGTTCTTTATAAATGAGCATACATGAAAGCTGTTCTAAATTTGCACCTACACTACATTACAACAATATGACAATTAGTTAGAGTGGCAGTGTTATGACAGTGTGTGTGATAAGTTAAGTACCTCCAGGCTTTTCAGTGCTGAGGTAAGCAATGGCCCAGAGTAGCCAAGAATACTATGAAGGGGAAGCATGAAGTAGGGGGACACTGAGAAAGCCAAGGGACAAGTCAGAGTCTTGTAGAAAAACAAACAATTGTGAATTGCGTTCAACTGAGCCCAAATTAATTTCCAAACAGCACTTCAGGACTATGTGACTGTATAAATCAGGATTTGCCTGGAAGAGGTGATGGAGCCAGGCCAGCCAAGTGGAGTGGATTCTAAGGCAGTGAGGGGGGTTAAGGAAAGATACAGAGCTTCAGTTTTGCTTGGATTTTAAATCTGCCACTACTGTACATACGTGGCTGCAACCCCCCCTCCCACTTTATTTGAACCGGTCTGATTTTTCTTTGATCAAAATTGGCTTATTCTAAGCTGAGTGTGGTGGCACACACCTATAACCTCAGCACTCTGGGAGCCTGAGGCAGAGGATTGAAAGTTCAAGCTGGGCAACTGATCAGCTTAATGAGACCCTGTCTCAAAAAAAAGAACTGAGGATGTACTGTAGCTCAGTGCAAAGGCCTGGGGTCGGGGGGGGGGGGCTTTCAATTCCTAGTACTGAAAAATAAAGCAGCTTATTCTAGGCTAAGCCAATTATTTACTTGGAACCATTGCTACTAGGCTTTTGCCTCTGTGGATTGTAGCAAAAATGGGGGTTTCTCCAGGTAGCTAGTAGGACAATGCATGGCCAATCCCACTGAGACACCACCCATCTGACACACCTGAAATGTAGTCACTACCTCAGCAACACTGAAGTCAGGGACTATTAGATCCCTGTTGCTTACACTTCTGGATTATTTTCATCTAAGCCAGTTGGCTTCACTGTGGAGGCAGCAAGGAGAGGCTGAGTTAGCAGGCTGCATTCTACAGTCTCCTTCCTGCTAGTCTTGGAGAAAGGAGAACCATAAGCAATGTACCCAAGAAGAGAGGACAGAAAAGGGGGCCTCATCTGGAGCTTCATAAAGGACCAAGAATGGAGTATGGGATGAGGTGGCAGCTTGGGCTCCAGCCAACAGTCTTGAGGTTAGCAGTCAGTGGAAATGCCACACAGAGAAGGGGTTTGCATGGCATTTGCACCAACAGTCACGGGGCCCTGGGAAACCTGGCATCACCCAGGGCCGGTGTTCTTTGCCGTTACCCACCCACAGACACTTCCAGGCATCCCCCACCAGCTGCTGTCACTCCTCACCTGCATTTTTCTCTTCACGGTGTCAAAGGGAAAGGAGAGGGTCTGGGTCACTGTGGCAGCCAGACACACATTAGCAAAGTTCTGCAGGAGAGAGAACCGGTCTCGGGGGCCATTCCAGATTTTCTCCAGGTTCATGTAAACTAGTAGGGAGCCCGCAGAGAAGGGGAGAGCACCTGCAAATCAAGGGCAGGAAGAAGCTGCTGTCTCAGGAAATTACTGGCGCGAGAACACGAACGCCTGCGGGGAGCTGGGGCACAACAAACAGGAGGGGCCTGGCTTGATAAAACTGCTCCAACCCAAGAAGCACAGGGTGCTTTCTTAGGGTGTGACAGGGTTGTATTTTGATAGGGGTTGGGTCATTTGCCAAAATGCCTCAAATGGTTCATCAAAGGTTTGTGCTCTTTACTGTATATAAACTGTACATTAAAGAGAACCAAACACAAATAATGAACTTGAGTAAATGAAACACACGTTGAAGGGTCTGGGAGTGAAATGCACTGGTGGTTGCAACTTACACTGAAATCATCCATAAAAATAATGGACTGAAGAATGGCTCTGAGGGGTGGATAGATAGGTGATAAAGCAAAAATTCAGATTGTAGCATCTGAATGATGGGCACATGGGTGTTTCCAATTCTTTAACTTTTCTGTGTTTCCAGTTTTTTAAAATTTTCTGCATGTTTTTGCTAGCCCCCAAATCACTTCCATAGAAGAGAAGTTAGTGGGTAGTACCTGATCAAATTTTGTGGACTGGGAAGGACTGCTCTCTGGCTAAGAAGGAAGCATTTTGTGAAAACTAGTCAGGGAGGCTGCCTGACCCTACCTTTGACATGGTCATGTCACAGCCCACAGGGCACCCTGGGTTCATCCTTACCTTTCTAATACAATCAAGGGCGTGAGCGAGAAATGCAGTAAGTGGCACTCTCACTAACTTCTAGAAACTTAGGGAGCCATCTTCAGTCTATAGAAGGTCTAAATTTCTCAAAGTGAGATTTAAAAGAAGTGATAACACAAGTGGGGCTGCTTATTTTTAAATAAGGTCCTATTAAAAACAACTCACTAATCTCCCATTTACCTTCACTCAAAAAACATTTGGGGAACTCAGGCTCTGTGCTGGGCCCTATGTCAGATCCTGGGAATATAAAAAGAGCAGGCTAAGGCCTAGAGATGCTTAGGGCAGGAGACAGCCAGAGAAAAGTAGTGAGCATATTATTCCTAATATGTGCCACAATCAGGAGCTAGTCAAGATACTTTAGTTCCACAAGGATCAGAGGGATGAGCTTTTCCTAGGAGAATATGGAAGGACTGGACAGGAGAGAGACCTTTTGGACTGGGTCTTGAGGAATGAGTTCATCAGATATCAAGAGAGTAGAAAGGCAGTCCAGGCAGAGGGAATGGCTTGTATAAAGGGAATAGTATTTCCAGGAAACACAAGTTTTCTGTATGGCTGGGACAGGAGTGCAGCTAGAGGCATAGCACAGGACAGGAGGAGGCAGGATGGACTGGCAGGGGCCACGGCTGAAGGATCTGGAACGCCATAAAGAATTTGGGTTCCCCCCTTAACTCAGAAGGCATCACAGAAGGCAGAGAAATGAGGGTGGTGAAACAATCAGATTGTGTTAGGAAAGATCGGCCCAGCCTGGCAGCAGTGCAGAGGACTGCTTTCCTGCCAGTTTGCACTGAGTTACCTCTACTCTGTCTTCCTCCCTTCTTGGGGATGCGACTGGCCCAAATTTAGGAGGGGGTGTGTGGCTATGGAGTAACTGACTCTATGTGGATTGAATCCATGGAACCTTGAACTTGGTAAAACCGATTAACTGACCACAAAGGTATACAACATACTCATATATGTCCAAGAACATAGCCTTTACTTAGACAAGATGAAAAGTTCCACTTTACCTAAAACAGTGAGGGAAACCCCTCGATAAAGGGCCAGGAACCCTTCCTGTTGATAAATAGTAGAAAAAGCATGGAGGAGCCCCCTGTAAGACGGCTCGAGCATGTTCTGCACAATCAGCCGGGTTTTGATGAGGTCCGTAGGATATGTCACAATGGCGGAAACCATGCCTGCGAGACTCCCAGCCACAATGGAGCGCCACTGGGAAATATGGCCCAGGTCATCTGTGAGCAGCACAACAAACCTGGGAGAAAACGAGGTGTGGGGGGGAAGCCCAAAGCAATTAGCTATGGATTGTGCTATGGTGTTCTACATGACCTTGCAAACTATTTCCAGCATTTGGTAGTGCTTTACAAAGTGAAAATCACTACAGTGCTCTATTAGAATTAATGAACAATCTATTTAAATCTTACTATATTTATATAATGATAAGTATAAGGAAAAACTACCCAACCTTATTTATATCCACCCTAAATTCTTCCCATTTTAGACATTTTCCCTTTTTATCTGAATACCTGTCAAACCTAGCTTGCCTGTAGGGTATAAATGCACAGAAGCATTTGATAAGTACCAAATTGGAGTGCACTCTTTCAGTCCTGTCCAAATTTAAAAAGGAATGGAACCTCTTGAAAGGATGTTTTTGAGAAGCCCAGAAATTGTTTTAAAAATGTAACAGTTTAATGTTAAATAACACTTTGTAGGAGGCCCCAGGTTTGGACGGAGCGCCTACACTGGGCCCAAGAGACCAAGCCAATATAGTTTAATCTCAGGAAATGACTTTTTCTAGTTGCAGAAGACCCTGCAGCCAGTTTACTGGCTGACTGACTAGACTGTAGCCAATTAAGTTATTTTCTATGCCTTGCTTCTGTTTTCCTATAAATGCTGTCTAATCACGATGTTGGTTGAAGTTCTCTAAACCTGCTTGGTTCTTGGAGCTGTCTGATATGTGAATCTTGTTTGTTCTGCTTAAATAAGTTTTAAATTTAGCTGGTCTAAGGAATTTTCCTTGTAATAATTTTAAGAAATGATGCTGTCTTACTAGTTTTTTAGTAAAAGGACAAGTAAAAATGACAAGTTATTACTTCTCATCCAACAGACTAGCAAAGATCAAAAAGTCTGGTAATATCAAGTGATGGTGAGCATATGTGGAGATAGGAACTCTCACCTATGCCTGGGAGAAACATGAACTTGTAGGGTCACTCTGTAGTATCTAGTAAAACTTGAGAAACTCCTATTCTTTATCCCAGTACAGCGATACCTCAGTTGTCAAATGGCTCCTAGCAAAGTTCAAACAAACAAACAGCAAAGTTCAAAAAATATCTGCTCGGTGTTTGTAACTCTGCCCGATAGTGGAACTGAAAATCTGACTTGAAAAAACCTGTATGAGAGTGAGTCACGCACTGGGTCTCGCTGCAGACATAAAGGGCCAACGCTTCAGTCTAAGCACCGCTATGGGCCATACAACATATAGTGCTTGTGACAATGCGTTAAAACATTTGTCACTGTGCTTTTTTTTGTGCTTTGTGTAAAATATTGTAACCATGGCTCTAAAGAAAGTTAGTGATACTGTACCAGCAGTAAAGCTAAGAGGAAACCTGAGAACCACGATAAGAGTTAAAGAAAGGAATCATTGTGAAATTTGTTAAAGTCCTGGAAAAATGAATTTGTAAGTGTAAACTTTGGGCCTCAGAATTATTTGGCTTTCTATTATTTCTTATGGGAAAAATATGTTCACTTCTCAAACTTTTCAGTGTTCAAATATGAATTTGGAATGAATTGAGTTCGACATCTGTAATTCCACTTCTGAGTGCAATCCCTAGAGAAATTCTTTCAGGTAAACATACAAAAACACATAGTGTAACATTGTATATATGAAAAGCTCAACCTAAATGTCCATGGGAATGGGAATGAATAAAATCTGGCACTGTCATACAATGGATACTACATGGTTAAAATGAATGAGTTTAGAACTATGTGCCAACAAGGATAAAACACAAAAGCATAATGTTGAATAAAGGAAGCTATAGATTGATCTGCATTATATGATAACCATCTAGTTATTTAGAAACACCCAAAAACTATATTATTCAAGAAGTGTGTGTGTGTATGTGTGTGTGTGAAAATAGGCCCGTGGGAAAGAGGAGAGAGAATGGGGCTAGGAATAAGAATAAGGAGGACTTCAGCTTTATCTGTAATGTTTTACAGTGGACCCTTGACTTATGAGCTCGATTGGTTCCTGAGGGCTGGTTGTAACTCAAGTTGGTTGTAAGCCAGTACAGCTGAGATCTGGATGTTTACCTGGGTACATACTATAGATAACAAGAAGCAGATGAATCTTCCATTAACCTAATTATCCCAAGCTGTGCGTATGTCAGGCCGGTCCTAACTTGAGGGTCCAGTTTATTTCTTACGTTTAAAAAAAGGTGCATAGCTGGCAGGCACAGTGGTGTGCCTGCTACGTGGGAGGCTGAGGTGGAAGGATTGCTTAAAACCAGGAGTTCAAGACCAGCATGGGCAACATAGTGAGACCAACTCAAAATAATGTAAAGCATGGATGGTGGGTATATGAGTGTATTTCTCTGTGGTGCTACAATTTAAAAATGGTTTCAGGTGGACCTTACCAAATGCAAAAAACATAAAGCTGCTCTGTTACAGTCCTTCCCTAGTCATGAGGGCCCAACATGGCTGAAATCATTATAAGTGAATTTTTACACAGCACACATTCCCTGGCCAAAACACAAAGGAATTTTACTCCTTGCCAATGACAAAATCCAAAAGGGCTTGGAAAGCAGGAAAAATAATACTTTCTGCAAGACAGTAGGGATATGGAGAGGGACAATGAGGATTTGAAATAAAAGTGACTAGAACTAGATTAAAATAAAAGTGTTTCATCTTTAACAAAATTAAAGCATTTCCAGTTTTTTTGGCTTTCAAACATTCAGTGGAGCGCTACTTCCCGGGCACTCTGAATGGTATGCGGAGGTAAGTTTAGGTGAAACCATTTAAGGGGGTCTAGGCCAGTGCTTCTGCTTCCAAATAAGCAATCATTAATAAAACCATCCCTTTTGGGCTTTGAGTGCAACTCAGTGGTAGAGTATTCACCTAGTGTACTCAATGTCCTGGGCTCTACCCCTAGTACAAAAAAAAAATTCATGCCATAAAGCTGTTGTTTGCCAATGGATCATGTGCCTCAGTCTCACTGCCTGCTTATTTCCTCATGTCTCTCCTCCTCTCTCCCCTGGCCAGTGAAGTTGGAGGGGCAGGGGAGACAGAGGAAGTGGAAATGCCTGATGGTAGTCTGAGGCAAGCTGGAACAAGCTAGAGGGTGGAGTTTGAAATGCCATAATAAACATCACATTCATTCTTATCATCCTACTTTTACTCCCCATCCAACTTTCCCACTTTTAGGACACTGATTTTATTCACCCTATTTGTAGAACATCTATAATGTGCCAGACACCGTGCTAGTTCTCAGCACAGATCATGTAAGAGATTAACAGTCCTGACAAGGAAATGACCCAGAGAGGCAACTACAGGGAAGCAGGCCCTGGGTTTGCTGAATGACTTGAACTAGGAAGAGGAATCCTTATCTTCTAACAGTTTGTTTTATGAAGTGGGGTCTTACTATCAGTTACAAAATTAAAAAGAACCAAAGGAAGTCCTTTCTTCTCAGACTCCTACCATCTGACACAGGGACAAGGAGCATCCATCTTCCCTTAGAATCACAGTCAAAGTAGGCAGCGCTGATAGGCTACCAATTAAATCATCCTAGTTCCTACATCTTAAACTGCTACCTGATTGGCTGAGACAGTGGCCTTTCGATTTCTGCTCTTCCTCCCACCCCTGCACACACATACACGCACAAAAGCTTCTTCCAGCCAGACTGGATAAGCTGATGAATTGAGTAACCTCTTCCTTTCAGCCAGCACAAATATCACACACACTCTGCATACATGTGATTAGAATTGCTAACACTTCAACTCAAAACAGGCTAGCTGCCAATGCAGCCAAACACTAGCTCATGAAACGGTTATGTAATAAGGAAATGGTGTTGGTTCTGAACAATTTCAGAGCTGCAGGGACACAAACCAGTGTTTACACAGATAGACAAACTGTTGTAAAATACATTTGGGGTAGGTTCTTCTATCTGATCTTTTTTAAAGCCATCAACTGTGTTAGCTATTATTTATTTACAAGAACCTTGCTCCCCACAGACTTTACTGAGTGGACTCTTTGATCTTGAATCCAAGTAAGCAGACACTTCAGCTGTGTAATGGGGTCAGAGCCTTGGACTGAGGAACCAGAAGGCTTGGTTTCAAGTTCCAGCTCTGCTATTGTGTAGACAAGTTGTTTAATCACTCTATTCCCTGAACATTTTGGATGTTTGTGTTTTGTTCAAACCCAATGTTAGAAGATGTACCATCTGTCCCAGCCACCTGTTTTGCAAATTCATGGTCAGGAAAGAGTAGAAATGAATCAGAAAGAGTATAATGATGAACCAAGATTATCATCTCTATGTAGGAAGGATAGCATCATGATGAATCAACCACTATGCTTTCTAACTGCATTGCCATTCACTGAAATACTTTTTACTTTTTAGAAAAAAAACAACCCTGCAGGAAAAATATCAGCACACCTAGCCCATTTTACTCTGTTCTTCTCTCATGCTTCACCTATGGTCACTAGCCTATTTCAGGTGCCCCCAGCCTCTGTGTGGACTAGTGCCAACAAGTTCCAACTGCTCCTGCCACTCCCAGTCTTCCTCCTCTCCCACCACCTTGTGGCAATCATTCCACTTGAACTGCTTTAATCACAGCACTGCCTCCCACCTTGAAAAAAAAAAACGTCTCCCATAGCTACCTTTGCATACCAAGTCTACATTCCTTAACCTGACCCTTGAAGATCTCATTTCACCTGTTCTTCCTGCCATATTTCCAGTTATGCTGCATGCCTTCCCACCTCTGTGCATTTGCTGACTTACCTGCAGTATCTTTCTCTCCATCTTTGCCCAGCAGACTCGCACTCACTCTCTCAAGGCCAAACTCCAATGTTTTTTCTCCACTGTGAAGTCTTCTCCTCATCCCTTATCGGAGGTTACATTTCCACAGCACTTCAGTCACAGCAACCACATGCTATTTGTACTATGGTTATGGACACATTAGCCTTATTCTTCTATTACTCTGTAAGCTCCTGGGGGCAGAGGGGCCATTGCCTCTTTTATCTTTGCACTGTCTCCAGCATCATGCACAGTGGCTACTTCATGTGCCCTAACTAAATTAATATCAACTACTTGCAGAGAGAAAGGTGGCATGATGTAATGAAAGAGTGTGACATTTGGAGTCAGAAGGCCAGGTGGTAGTATCCAGCTCTGTCACTGACAAGTGGTATACCAGCCTGAGCCCAATTCTGCCTTTGTAAAATGGGCACAATACTTCCTGCCCTACCGACCTTATAGGAAAGAAGGGAAGAGTTGTAAAAATCTAATGATGCCTGTGTACTAGACAGTTAGTAGAAAACCAAGACACTCTAATCTGCCTTTGAAGCTCTGCCCACCCCTTGGCTCACAATCCATCCTGTCAAAGGAAGACTTCCTACCACTTTGTGGAGAAGAGGGTAAAGTGGAGAAATTGAGTCATTAATATACTCAGACTGCTGGCTAGGTGTTGCTGAGGGCAAGGGGGACTGGGAAGGGAAGACAGCCTTGACAGAAATGTCACATGATCCTACCATATGATTCCCTCCCCAAATAAAGAATTCTCCCAGGCAGAAGTGAAATGAGTGCTGGCCTAGAGGAGTCTGATTAGGGTAATTTTATTCAGCTTGTCAACCTCCCAGGTGTGAGAGACTTCTAGTTTTCCCCTCCTACGTCATAACATCAAGACAAAATCCTGTGACTGTTATCCACCAAGGTTGAACTATCTGGTCAAAACTGACCAGCTCTTCTGGCTGGGGGTGTAGTTCCCCCAGTTGTAAAGCCTTGCCTAGCCTGAGCAAGGCCTTGGATTCCATCCCCAGTATGAAAAAAAAAAAAGCCTGCCTTGTTCTCCTGACTCTGTGGGCTGATTCAGGGCCACGGCCACTCTTCAGAGTTGGCACTGTGCCCACTAAATGAAGGACGCAATAACTATCCTCCTAAATAAACAGCCTGAAATGTCATCTTTGCCATTTCTCCTTTTAGGCTTCCTTTCGGGTACCAATGCAAATATCTCTGAGCCCTGAGGAAGCTTTCAGCCTTGTCCAGTATTTGCATCTTTAGATCTTGTTTTTTGGTACCCAGATCGAACTCTGGACATTGCGCTTGTGAGGCAGGCGGCGGAACCACTGAGCTAAATCCTCGGCCCTAGATCTTTTTCTGAGGAGCAGATGTTGATGCCAGAGAAGGTGGGAAAAACCCAAAGAATGAGGCCAGTGGGCAGCTTAGGGGCGAGGTGAAGGAGAATGAGAGGACTGTTCCCAGCTCGGGAAGGGGGAGCTGCAGCCTCTATAGAATCCGAAATTTAAGTTTCAGATAGACTGGGTGGGCAAAAATCTGTGGCCATTTTGAAGCAGTAGACTGGCTCCTCCCTGGCCACCAAGCACTTTCTTCTTGGGGCACTGTCACACAGATACAAACATACATCTTCAAGAGGGTGGGTCTCTCTCTCTCTCTCTCTCTCTCTCTCCCTCCCTCCCTCCCTCCCTCTCTCCCTCCCTCCCTCCCTCCCTCTCTCCCTAAGTCAGCCAAAGCAAAACCCTCCAAGTTGACGGACAATGGGTGTGATTAGGGGTTATCTCTCTGGAGATCTCTTCATTCCTTTCCCCCAAATCTCCTTTGGCTCCATTCCCACCTTCTCAGCCTGTCCAGCCCGGAAAACCTTTCTCAGGGGTCTGGCCGCGTGCCACAAAACCGCATCGCTCAAGGCAGGAACCTCAAGAGCTGAGGAAGAGTACGGACTGTGCATTGTGCGCCAAGAGCCCCCCACGTGATGCGGAAGGGGGCTGGCCCCACCGCAGCCGGAGGCCGGCTGCGAGGTGAAGACCCCAGCCCCGCCCCGCCCCGCCCCGGCCTGGCCTGCGGGCCGCCCGGCTCTTACTTGCGGTAGGCGGCGAGCTGCACGGCGCTGCACGGGAAGAGGCGCACGCACGCCACCGCGTTCCCCTTCCACAGGGCCCGCGGCCCCTCGGCCCGCCACACCCGGCATGCTGCGGCCCCCGGCCCCCGGGGATGGCCTCGCGCAACGCCGACCTGGGCCAGCACGGTGGCGAGCTCCAGGGGCGCGGTGAGGCTGAGGCTGAGCACGCCCGCCAGCCCCGAGCACAGCAGCCGCTGGCTGCCGGTCAGCCGGCTGTCCCGCCTCCACGTAGCCATCGAGGCCCAACCGGCCTGGCCCGGAGACCGCGTGGCTCGGGCCTGGGGCTTGCGGGCGGGCCAGGCCCCGCCCGGCATGGGGCGGATCCGCGGGAGGACCGGGAGAGACCACGCCCGAGAGGGGGCCCAGGGCCTGGGGGTGGGATCGCCGGCCCCCGCCCGAGTGTGCGTTTGTGCTTCGGTTGGCAAAGCTCCAGCACCCATTTTCAGGCTTGGTCATCCGGGTGTCTCATCTTGCTTCCTAAATATTCAGCGACTACTCTGCCTCTCTTCTTGTTTGCCTAGGTCCGCTCCTTTCACATTCCACCTCGCCCTCTTTCGGCTCTGTCTTTTCTCTTCCTCTTCACCTCACCTCATTTTCTGCCGAAAGAAAAAGCCTGGAAGGTCTTGCGAACCTTAACAACCACAGCTGCTACCTATCAAACACTTGACAAGTTCTGGGCTTTATATACATTAATATCAGTGAATCCCCAAAGAGCCTTTAGTGGATATGACCTCATTGAGAGAGGCTGGGGGTGTGGTTGGAACCTGCACTCTGGAATCTGCTTTAGAACCTTGGCTCTGTAGCTTTCCAGCTGGGTGACTTTGGGGAAGTCCCTCAACCTCTCTGTGCTCCAGTTGCTCCATGTATAAAATGGAGATTGTACTTTCTTCGTCCTAAGGGTTTTTGTAAGGAGACATTGACTTGCAGAAGGTCACACGACTTCTACAAGGCAGAGTCAGAGTTTAAATCAAGGTCGATTTTCAGCCAACGACCACTACATGGCCACTAGGACTTTGAGCTGGGACTCCAGGAGGGATATTTTTTTCAGTGTTTCTGTTAGCTGAGAGGACAATAGCGGCAAAAAAAGGGCTAACAGAGACATAGTCAGAATCCAAGAAAAATTTTAATAAGTTTTTAAAAAGAATTCAACTTTTATTTCTGTCTCTTTTTCAATACTAATCATTGTAAGGAAAGGGAGAATCAGCAGTCTGTCAGTATGAGCAAGACTTCCCAGGTATACAAGTTGCTTTCACACTTGTATATTTTCTACCTTTACTAACACATGATGATAAAGGAAATTTCATTTTTAAATGAAACATATTTAATGGATACATAATTGTATATATTCATGGGGTACAGTGTGACTTTGACACATGTATACAGAGTACAGTGATCAAATTGGGGTAATTAGCGTATCTATTGCCTCAAACATTTACAGTATTGTATATTTTAAAATATATATGTATATATATGTGCGAACAAGATGTGTTTGTATTTTATCGAGGATCATTCATTTGCTAAGCATTGAGATTATATATATATATATATCCTTTCCTTTTCCTTCCCTCCTTCCTTTTCATCTTTACCTCCCTTCCTTCCTCCTTCCCTTTCCTTATTTCCTTTCTTTAAAATAAAATCCTACCTCCAGAAGGATACCAAGAAACCTGATTATGAGGTTGTCTTTGGGGAAGGAAACCAGAACACACAGGATGGTACATTTTGTACTGTTTGCATTTTTCTTTTTATTATGGCCATGCCTTACTGATTTAAAAACACTGTCACCTCCATCAATTTTCTTGGAAGCATTCCCATCATATGCAGTGTTTTCTGTGACACTGCCTTGGCATTGGTGAGGTGTAGTTGTTTTTTTTTTTATGGCAAACAATACTCAATGAAGTTCTGAATGGTCCATGTATTCCTACTTTGCTCCATTTCACATCATTGTATAGTTTTTATCCCTATTTACTATTTTCCTTTTTTTTGGTACCGGGGATCGAACTTGGGATCTTGCACTTGTGAGGCAGGCGGCGGAACCACTGAGCTAAATCCCCGGCCCTCTATTTTCCTTTTTTATTGGTTTATTGTCTCTTTCCTCCCATCAGAATGTAAGATGCACAAGGGAAGGGTTCTTGTCTCTCACAGCTGTATCTCTTGTTCATAGTGTCCCTATTGCTATGTAATCCAGACCAGCCTTGTACTCATTAGATAGCCTGGGCTGGGCTTAAACTTGTGATCTTCCTGGATGCTTGGATTACAGGCATATGCCAAGGTATCTGGCTTCATTTGCCCATTTCTAATTGGAATGTTTATTACTATTATTATTATTATTATTAATCCCTTGTTGGATGAATAGTTTGCAAATATTTTCTCCCTTTCTGTGGGTTGTCTCTTCATTCTCCTGGTGGTTGCCTTTGCTGTGCAGAAGCATTTTAATTTCACACAATCCCATTTGTCAATTTGTTGTTGCTGCTGCCTCTGCTTTTGTGGTCATAACAAAGAAAAAAATCCTTGGCCATTTCACTATCCTGAAGCATTTCCTATGTATTGTCTTCCGATAGTTTCATAGTTTTGAGTCTTACATTTATTTGTCTTTGACCCATTTTGACTTGATTTTTTTATGTGGCAAGAGTGAGGGTCTAATTTCTTTCTTCTGCATCTGAATACCCAGTTTTCTTTCTCAACACCATTTATTAATGAGACTTTCTTTTCCCTAGTGTAGGTTCTTTCTGCCTTTGTTGAAAGTCAGTTGGCAGTAAATACGTGGACTTATTTATAGATTCTCTATTCTGTTCATTGGTCTGTATCTGTCTCTATGCCAGTACTATGCTGTTTGAGTTACTATAGCTTTGTAGTGTGTTTTGAATTTAGATAGTTTAATGCCTTCTTATTTATTTTTGGCTCCAGATTGCTTTGGTTATTCAGGGTCTTGTTGTTGTTTGTGCCAGTTAATCTTGGTTAACCAATTGACTGGATTTAGAGACTCCTAACGCAGTAATTGGCTTGTGAGGGCACTCATTGATGGGTTAAACATTGGTGAGTTCATAGCTGAATAGGCTTTTAGAAGGTGGGGCTTAGTTGGAGAGAGTGGGTCATGGGAGTGTGAATATATGGACTGTCTGATCACTGGCTCCTTCTGTGGACCTCTGCTCTCGCCTTCCTGGCTGAGGTGAACAGCTTTCCTCTACCACGCTCCTTCACCATCCTGTTTCTGCCTTGAAGTCAACTGGCCATGGACTGAAACCTTTGAAACTGTGAGTTAAAATAAACCTCTCCTCCTTTAAGTTGTGGGTATCAGGTATTTTGTCCCAGCAATGGAAAAGCTGACTAATGCACTGTTAATACAAATATTAGGAATGTAATGTTTTATTTTATTTCTGTAACAAATACATCACATTCTTAACTCAAACTTCAGCTGTACATTTTTTGTAATTTTTGCATGGTACAATTTTTTTTTTGGTACCAGGGATCGAACTCGGGACATTGCACTTGTGAGGCAGGTGGCAGAACCAATGAGTTAATCCCTGGCCCTGTACAATTATTTTTTTAAAAATTAATTTTATTGGTATATTTTAGGTATACAATATAATGACATTCATCATTGGAAATTTGCACCTTTACATAATCTCTCTTGGTTCTT